GCTATGAATGAAGAGTTTGATGTAGAATGGCTTTAAGTCAGACTGAGGAATAGCAAGTTATTGCCCAACTCTGATTCCCTGGTAAAATATTTAAATACTACGTAGTCGATAACTTCCTTTGCAGTCTATTAGCACCTAAAAATATCTAACTCCTATAGAAAGGTGTTTTGCGTTTGTTAGGTGTAAGTTAGATTGGTGTGACAATGAGCTATTTATTTTGGTGTTGGTTTAGTTTTATATCGCCAAATCATGAATGTTCGGTCTGTGTCTGTACAACTGCTTCGGCAAAATGTTTATCTAAATGAGAGAGAAAGGCCGTTACTAGTTGTAAAATTCAGCTTCTGGAGAGAAAGGCTTCTGGATTAGCTACCCAAGCATTTACTTTACGATTTGAGAAACAATTGGCATATCTGAAATTTAGCTATACACATTATTCCTTCCCAAGTGCGATGGCCCCCTGACCATAAGTCAAAAACAGTGCAGTTCAGTTGAAGTTACACAATTAAGCAGTGCTAGACCTGCCTGATTCCTGGGGTTTTGTTTAAACAGTCGAGCACCGTGCACACATACATTTTTGCTCCTTTGGTTTTTTTTTTTTTTTTTTTTTTCCACTGTGCCCTGCCACAGTAGCTCAAGGAGATTAAAGCAGAAAAATAGCCTACACACATACAAAGCCCAAACCTGAGGTTGTGTGTATGCTACCGCGCTGGCACGAATGTGGTTTCATTCTTGGCACTGCCAGCTTGCTGGAGAATTACAATATGTTGGCGTCGGTCCCCAGGTCTCATTGTCCCAGCCCAGGGAGTCGGTCTTAAGAGGGTTTGGCACTGGAGGGAAAAATGGAGTGTGCGTTACAGGGAATGAACAGGCCCTAAAGAGACAGGGTGCTGCCGCTGTAACAGTGGCTGGCAGGTTCAGGGGTTTCTGGCGTGGGGTCGCCATGGGCAGTGGTGTGATGGAGAGAAAAGGAAAGCCAGCCAGTACGTCTAACGGCCGGGGACGGCAGAGAGGAGCAGAAGCGGTTTCATGCACTCTTCTTAATGAGTGGACAGATGATGGCCGCTTCCGAGGCTCCAGTGTTCCCTGGCTCTTTTTATTTATTTATTTTTTATTCACATTTATTTTACATTATCTTTAAAAATGCATGTGTTTAGTTTTCTTCTCAAAAGACAAATCCTCGAAGGAAGAGCCCTTGGTTTCATGATCTGTATGCTGTACTTTGGACTAGCTGAGGTTGGGCAGAGTCTGATTTTCCTCAGCTGCAACAGGGAACAGAATAACCCCACACACTACTGTCAGAGGTGTTATGGCTGACGGCGCCCTTTAAGCTGGGACACTGCCATAGCCGTTGCTGACTCTTACAATGACTTTATTTGAGCAGATCCTTAGTTTTGAGAGTAATCGTGAAACTCCAGTGCTTAGAGAATGAAGGCCTAAGTGTTTAAAGTAAGAAATGCACATGGGGCATGTGGTGTACACCTTCAATCCCATCACTTGGAGGGCAGAGGCGGGCAGATGTCTGCCGGTTGGGGTCAGCCTGGTCTACACAGTGAGACCCTGTCCTACAGCAAAGACGACAAAACAAACCCAACCCTGAAAACTAAAGAGCACTTGAAAGCTTACTAACCCTGCAGTCACCAGCCACACTCAAAGCACAGAACTCAACCCTGTGTCTCTTAAAGAAAACCTCATTTTTGAAAACGAAATATTGCATATTGAGCCACTGTCTTGTTTTCACATGATAAATAGTAAGCGGTACTCAAGAGCCGTGGTAGACGCCCCTTTATTGGATTCGCTCTTCAGAGAGCAGGTGGCTGTAAATATTGGGATCTTGCCATTTTGTCTTTTCTAATCGCAGACTTTCTTACTGTCCTCCGAGAAGCTTCATCAATGAGGAGGGCACCTGAGTGTCCCTATGACTGCACACCATTCCCTAGTGCCATGTCACTGTAGGAACCACCTGTGTGGACATGAGGCCATGCAGGAAGTGTGCTGTGGGAAGTAGGCTTGCCCGCCCTATTTATGGGACAGAAGTTCATAGAGAGAGCTGAAGGTAAAGGTGGACACGGAGTGTACACACCCCACCCTTTGCCTGTGAGCTACTCAGGCTAGCTACTACCATAGGATGGGTGACAATCGGGCTTCTGTTTTTCCTTGTGGTTCAGTATTCCTTCTAGTTTATAAGTAAAGGAGGTAATTTAATTGTTCGTGCTCACAGGAAGTTTCATAGTGGAAAATCTTATCATTAGATTAAGTTCTGATGCTAATGAGAACTGAACAACAACAACAACAACAACAAAACCCACTAGCCTTTTAATCCCATGGTTAATACTCATGCAAACATGTTCTTCTGGAAAGTTCAGTTGATTCTTGGAAATTTTTACTCCAGTGGAGTTCAGGGTAGTTCCTGTAAATCTCAAATTCCTCTGCAGAGGAAATGAAGGTGTGTCGTCTGTGTGAGCATGTACGCATGCAGCTGAAACAGCAGGCTGTGGCATTTGGACTTGGCGTCACGGTGGGCAAATCCTGTGCCTCCCTAAGCTTTGCTTTCTTAATGGGTGAATCTCAGTCCTTACGTGCCGTGAGAAGTTTGCCATGCCATGCAGAAGGGGCTTTCTCTGTTGCTCAGAACTTAGGCTTCAAAATGGGGTCTTTCTCATCTTGTCACTGTGGGTAAGGGACATTAGGAACAAACAAAACCCGACCCAAGGCATTACTGTTTCCCGTCATAGGTTTCGAAACCCCAGGCTGGTCTAATTCTGAAATTTTTGTGACCTCCTTAGAACCTATAACATGGATGTAATGACACTTTCTCAGACTTCTGGTGACTGTGGAGCAGAGGTAGAAACAGCACCACAGTCCAAAGGCAGAGGCCACACTCAGTGTGTATATTTGGAGTCTTAGTCATCCCTGGACGTGGCATCTCTGAGTTAGACATATTTCTGATATTTCCATGTTCACAAACACCCCCACTATCTCCTCCCCTCCTCCTCCCCTCCCTCCTGCATGCTAAGAGTCAACTTGAACCAGCTATCTAGGAGCCTTGTATCTTAACACTTGTTAATAAGGAGGCCAGGAATGTTCTGTAGGTCTCACAAATCTGGCTACTGTTTCTTTAACTCTGCAACTTTAGACAGAAGACTTCTGTCCCTTTATGAGGCAGCCACAGTAGATATTTTGTCTAGCTGCAAGAGAAAGGCATTGCCACGGACCTGGCAGACAATAGCCTTAAAAGTAGAAAGGTCTGTTTCTGGAGCAGGGAGGCTCAGGGGCCATTGTTAGTCCACAGTGGATTTCTATTGCCGCGTTCCTGCTTTGCAAAGGTTTGTTAGCTTTTAATGACTGACAGAACTCTCCTGCAAATACCATATTGGCCATGCCCTGTTTACACGCTACTCAAGCAATTTTTTTTTTTTTTTTTTTTTTTTTTTGAGCTCTGAATAAAGAAACAGTGGTGTTTGTTTGACCTACTCCGATAAGGTTTAAGAACTGATTTTTCCAGTGCTTGCTGGGAATGCAGGCACACTGAAGTTCCAAGCAGAAGCATTTTCAACTCACTTTAAGCGTCATGATGCAAGTGGAAAGCCCGATGACGACAGCAGTCTGCACAGTGCTCTGCTCACAACACCGCTACTGCCCTTTCCAAAAATGAGATGGAAGAGCAGGGATGCGTTTTAAGAAAATGTACAAGGAAGTCTGTTAGGGTTTCCCTTCACGATGGGAAATAGAAACAGGCATTTTGTGACAAAGAGTAACATATTAGCCACATCTCACGAATGGGACATATACATATATATGGACACAATATAAAAACTAGCTAACACCTTTGCCATTTAAATGGCACCAATCAGACTCCCTGAAACCCCCCCCCCCCCAAGTCAGACGGTCTGGTCTCTCCGATTAAGTTAGCAAGTAGTCCCTTTCTGTTCCTCCTAGGGGGGAAATGGTCACTGGAACAAACAGAAACGCACACAGCCACCATTGTGCAGACAGGAAATAGAGGCACTGCTGTCATTAGGTGAGGCATGGGGACACTTACCTGTCAGTAGTGTGAGAACTTTGTTTTGTTTTCTAACTTAATGCAAGGCTAACTGGAGAGTTGAAATGCATTGTCATTGTGTACCCAGCTAGATGCTGACAGGAACATACAACTCCATTGTCTGGGACAGAGACTAACGTGTGCTGGTTTTTATTACAGTTATATTTACTTTTAGTTACGGTTCAGTACAAAAGGAAAGGGCAGAGCCAGGTGTCTACAAAAAACGAACCATGTTCTGCAACTCGTGACCTTGCCTCTAAAATGTGTCTTCCCTGCCCCAACATGGGCGCTTGCAAAAAGCATGATACAAATCTGAAATAAGCAAATAATGTGTTTCCATTGCCAACATTACTCAGTTCACCAGATTTCTGCAATCCTTGAAAAGCTTCTTTTATATCAACCTTTTTTTTTTGTTTGTTTTTTATTTATTTTTGTCAGTGTTCGCTGTGTACTCACAAATCTTGCCACGGTGTGGTGGTTATCACCACACAATGTTACACGTATTATGAAGTGCACGGAATTGTAAACACACAGAGAGACGTAATTACATGTAGCAGGTTTAAGGGCTAATTCTTTGCCTCTTTTTTTTTTCACTCTGCATTTTATCAACATAATTATTTTCTGACTGCAGACTAACAGTCTGAAATTGACAAGCATCCATTATAACAAGAATGTGCCCACCAAATTTAAAACAATGAGCTGTGGTCTCACAGAAGCCCATTGTCAGAAAGAATTAGTATGGCTTTGTTCTGGAAGGGGAAAAGCTAATGATTTCGAAACAGCAGGTGACCAAACACCCTCTTTCCCCCCCCCCCCCCTCCCTGTTATCAGTTTGTTGATGAAGTCATTATGAACGGGGGCCAGGACAAGGATGGCCTTATTCTTAGCAGATAGGCTTCTACAAGCCTGCTGCTAATAGTCATGCTGATTTGCTCATATAAGTCTGTTTTTCTTTTCTTAGATACACCCAGTATTGAAAAGCTACTCTCAAAGGACTGGAAAGACAAGCTCCTGGCAATGGGATCAGGGAACTTTGGAGAAATAAAAGGTAGGAAGTATTGCTACTTTTATCTAGAATGTTCAGGAATGATGCTGCTATTGATAAGTGTTAGTGGTTGTGGAATACTTCTGTCCCAGCTCCTCTGCTTCATGTGTGCTCTGGTACAGGCTTTCCTTCTAGCTGGCAACAGACTGAGACTCTGTCTGTGTCTTCTCCTTGCCCTGTGTAGGATCAAGGATGGGTTTGTTTTTTGGTTTTTTTTTTTTTTTTTTTGTCTTAAGAACAAAAACCAACTCTTTCTATGACTTGCTGTGTTTTGCCTCCTCTTATTTGAATTAGATGATTTATTTCAAAGGTAAGAACATATCAATACTTCACCGAGGTTAGAAACAGCATCTCATAAATTATAACTCGCATCCTATGTCTGAAGTATGCATACGTACAGTGGACAGCTGGAGCCTGCCGACCAGCAAGGCAGACAGAGTACAGGGATGCTTCAAGTCAGTGTCAGAGATGTTTCTCTTTGAGCTCATTTGAATCAGCAATTACGATTAATAAAAGCTCTCTGAGGACTTCAGAGAGCACTGAATATTCATATCTTAACAAACTTCCAGTAACAAGGAAGGAGATTTAATTTTCTCATGTAGAAATGGAAGCAGATGATAGTTTCGATTACTTTTAAGCCATTGCTTCTCAGAGCACAGGGCAGCACATAGCACCCTGTTCCTGCCAGCAGGGTACTTGTGGTCCTAAATTCTAAAGCAATGTTAATCTTGGGAATGTCAAGATGCTCAATCATCAACAACATCACCTTTGCACATGAACTGTGGTGCTTATCTTCAACAGGTGCTAAATGTAATTTCTGAGCACCTACCGATCAATATTAGTACATTAATATTAGTATGTTAATATCAGTATATCAATGTCAGTGTGTTATATATGTCTGAGTAACTTTGTGATCTCTGTAAGATTCTGTCCCATCCAAGCGTCCTAGAGCAAAGGAAAGCCTTTGTCTTTGCAGCTCCTTCCTTATTCATGTCTGGCTGTTCGGAAAGTTCCAGGAAAAAAAAAAGTGTTTAACTGATGATTTCACTAGTTTGTCAGTCATTTGAGGTTGCATGCCTTCTGGCTTTAGAGGGCTGTGAATGGGTAGTGAGGGTTCATCAACAAATTTGATAACCAGCATCTATTTTGGAAGAAAACTTAAATGAACAATTAGCATGCCTCAGAGCTTGGTAGGGCTTGAGGGTACACAAAGGGAAGCCTTGACTTAAGACATCAAGGTTTTCACCCCTTTGACGGATTTTTAACCCTTGGCTCCCATGGAGAAGGACGTATGCCTCCGTCTTCCTCCACTGCCCTCAGCAACCACCGAGCACGTAGCACGCAGGACTGACTGCCTGCTTCAAGCTGGAGCTCATATTCCTCCCTCTCCTCCAGCCTGGATGGCCATGGTGCAGGGCTTACAGGACAGAAAGGCTCCGTGCTGTCCTTTGAGCTTGGCCTGGGGGTTATTTTAGGCTGTTCCAATACAATCACAAAAAAGTTCCTGTCTTTAATTTTGAGTTTTTAAAGCTTCACAGTCGGAGCCCAGAGTTCAGTTATTGTCCCCTGGTTCTGTTTTTTTTTTTTTAAATCTGTTTCCAGATTAAGCATTTTGAAAGCGACTGTCCATCTCCCTTCAGTGCAGACCTGCTTATTAGGTGCCCACTCAGCTTTCTCCAAGAAGTAGAGAAACATCACTGGGTCACTTTGCCTGCTGACTGTGTGTGACAGTTGCAATTACAAGTCATTGTTCGTAGGTGCAGAGGGTACAATAGAGGATTGCCTCTGGGGCAAATGAAGTGGGGGTGGGGGTCAGTGCCCAGGAATGCTTGCCACCTCAGAAGAAGTCAGAGAACAATGGCTGCCTTGTTCCCGCAGCTGTTTTATCCCAGGCAGAGGAAGGTGTGAGGCTCACATATTTGTCTACTGTTTCTGGCTGGGGGAGCTCAAGGGCTGGGCTTTGTGGGTTCTTCCAAAATAGGAAAGCATGAATGTGCTGCCCGATTGAGTGGTTTGCCAACGGTCACTTCCAAACAGTAGATTAGAATAGAGCTTCCACTTAGGTCTGGGAGGTGGGTACCAGCTTCACTCCATCAACGGCATTCTCTTACACAGTGAAAAGTGCCCCTCCCTTCTGTTTGTCTTGGCCAGTTTTATTTAAATTTTTATTGACTGGGAAATAAAAGTAATCAGAGAGACAACAAGAGAGAGAGACAGAGAGAGAGAGAGGCAGAGAGAGAGAGACAGAGAGAGACACAGAGAGAGACAAAGGGGGGAAGAGAAGGATGAAGGATGAGAAATGAGAAGGTGTGTAGGGACCGGAGAGAAAAGGGGATAGGCAAGCTTGTAGATTTAACACTGTAGCCAGGCCACAATTAAGTCCTTTCTCCAGTACTGTAAGGTGTAACCAGTGAATTGCTTTCAAGGTATTTGAACAAATCAGTACAGTCACAACTTGGAAAAGTTTAGAAAAAGTTTTCTTACTATTAGTGTTCACGAAGAATAAGTGGAAACTTTTTTCGTGTCGGAAGAATACGGATGATACCTTGGCTGTCCATAAATAACTGTGTTTAAATTCTATCTCATGTTTCCCCCCCCCCCTCAGGAGATGACATTACTGAAGGTCACTGGCCCCTGAGAGCATAAATTACTGTCTCTTATTCTCACATTTATTTTATTGTGCATGTGTACACTTGTGGACATGTGCACATGTGTTTTGTACCCATGCTTTTATGAGGTCAAGGGAAGAATTTGTAGACATTTCTTTCCTTCCGTCAAGAAGGCTCTAAGGCTCAGGCTTTGAAGCAAATGCCTTTACTCACAGAGCAGTGTTGCTGACCCCAAAGTTAAATTTTCAAAATGTTAGAGCATTCTGCATGGTATTGCACCACACTATACTCTGGCCCTTTGAAGATGTGGCGCATCCAGGTTTTAAAGGCGTAGTGGAACTACGCCTCTTTGTACACACATGCAATGCACATGGGATCTAGTCTGGGGAAAGCAGTTGGACTGCAGTGACAGCCAGCCAGCTTGTGCTATACTCCAAGGGGCTGCCTGAGGAAACAGTTTCTTACCTTCTCCTCAGACATACTGTGTCACTGGGCAGCCCTAGAGATTTCCTACGTCGTCTGCAGAAGAAGCTCTGAGTAGCAGTGGTGACCAGGGCACTTTCCAGCTGGCTACCAGTGCTATCCACAGCATTTCAGCTAGCATGGAACTCCATGACACCCAGTGTCACTGAATTGGCACTTCATCCGAGGACAGTGTCTGGGGATCCATGGTGGCTTTGACTAACTTAACAGATCATTCATTTTTTCAGCCAAGCAACTGCAAACACTGCACATTACTTGTGCCATGTCTGTGTGTAGACATCTCATTTATTTCTTCTGCTGCAGTGAAGGTGAGCCCTTGACTGGCAGGGAGGCTCACTGGACAGGCTGCTCAGCAGAGTCCGGGACAAGGCCACTGAGGGCATGTTTGACTAGATCCTTCCTACGCAGGACTCACAGGTTCTCCTTTATTGATTTAGCCTCAGGAAATGTTATATATGTCAGGTAGAGGGCAATGCCAGCTGTGCTTGATAATATAAAAATGTGACTACTTCAAGCCCATATTTTTGCTTATTCTAGACGATGGGACATGTAAGCAAACACTGTACAGCTATGGGTTCATATCAGTAGAACTTTGGGCAATTAAAATGCCTTGGAGATCAGTAGTTAAGCACGGGAGTGGAGTCAGTACTTGGGTCAACATAATCTCTCAGGTGATGTACATATTTGAAATAGACATGTGCATTGAGTATGTGCCTTGAAAGAGGTAATTGTTCTGTTTAAATAATATTAGATAACTTGAAAATAAGCAGTCAGAGAATAGAAGTCAGACACAAGATTGTTTTTCCCCAAGGAAGAACTCTAAGTCCTGGTGAGATAGCTTGGTCAGTTGGGAAAATGCTTGCATTGCAAGGTTGAGGATAAGAGTTCAAGTCCCAGAGCCACAGTCAAAAACTAAGCTGGACCTGGTGTCTTGGTCATAACCCCAGTATTGGGAGGCAGACAGGTAAATCCCTGGCATCTTAAGACAGCTAGTCAATACTTCTTAGTATTTTCCATGCTATTAAAGGACCCTGTCTCAAAGACAGAGTTGGATTGTGTCTAAGAATTGACCCAACTCAGTTAGGCTTTTGCAAATTTAAAACATGTCAACAAGAAAGTCACCATTTCTATCTATGCATGCTTGTGTCATTTGGAAAGGTGTCTTAAAGCCTTCCTCTTAAGGTCCTGCATTTGTTTAAGGATCAGAAGCATCGCCCTGTGAGGTTAACATTTGAACGCTCACCTGAAGCTTGTAAGTGTGCACAGTTTCAGGGAACCCGAGAATGTTAATTTTATGAGAGCTGTTGTACCCCAAAGATGTTTCCCGAAGAGTCAACCAGAAGAAAGGAGTTACTTCTAAATAAATGTTTATGCCCAGTCTTCTCAGCTTACCTTCTAGCCTCTGCAGTTGCTTCTAACTGGTGTTTTTCACATTTTGTTAAAAGCATATATTTAATATTTTCTGAGTCTGAAGAGAGTCTGATGGTATGGAGAGGGAAGCAGCTCCATGGTGTGCGTCAAAAGACAGCGTCCCTGTGCTTTCCTTGCCCAGCCATCAGCTCCAGCCATCAGCTTGCCTCTGGGTGCACAAGCAAACTTAGGGATGGGGAGAGGGTGCTGCCAGCAGGTCTCAGGGGTCCACAAGTGCAGGGCTTTGCACACCTTGTACAGAGTGCATGACATGGGACAGGAAGAAGACTCTGCCACCAGATCTCAGGGGTCCATGAGTGTGGGTTTTTACATGTGTTGTACTGAGAGCAAGACATAGTCTTCCACACGCTTGCTTCAGGTGTGTTAGGAAATACCAAGGTCATATTTCATCGGAGTTTACATTAGAAAAAGAAATAACGTCATTAAACATCGTTATCCAGCCATTTAAAACAATGAGTTTGAGAGGAATTGAGTTGTAAACTTAAAATAATGATAATGCCATTTGTATTCTTGCAAATACAGACTCTTCCAAGGCTTGTAAAATGTAATCTGACTGTTGGATAGTTCAGGCCAACCCCAGACTTCCCTTGCTTCATGCTAACCTTAGGTAGGAGGCCTGTTGAAGCCACAGCTGTGAGCAGTCATGTGATCCTAATTCTTCCAGGTACCCAGGGGACATCTGGCTGTGTCTTGTGGTTCTGTTTCCTCATCTGATCATTTAAGGGAAGCCACAGTCAAGTATTTACTGCTTGTCACTCCATACACAACTTTCAACCAGAAGTATTATGATACGCATCTTATCCCAGCCCACAGACTGTTAAAAATATGATAATAAACAGACACCAATTACTCTAAACCACAAGCTGTAGTTGTGGTCTATACAGCCTGCACCTTCTGTATGATGCCCGGTGCTCTGTCTCTCTCAGCATTAGAGCGGACTATTTCCAAAGACTTTAAATATTGATAACACTTATAGACAGACTGTACATGGAGAGCTCCATGAAATTCCAGCCAGAGTAGTCTGTGCTTAGCATTCCCCATACATGTATTCTGGCATCCTTTGTCTGCTCACATGTCGGCCTTCCTAATTTAGTATCAGTCCAAATCTTTGAATCAGATGCTAGGGTCAAAGGTGGCTCTGAGGTTAATATCATGGATGTTCTTATAGAGGACTAGGGTGTGATTCCCAGCACTTACATAGTGGCTCACACCTGTAACTCCAGTTCCAAGGACTCGAGTACACTCTTGTGGTCTCTGCTGACATTAGATACACTAGTGGTTCCCAGACATACATGGAGGCCAAATACCCAAACGGTATATTAAAGTGAAATGATAAATATATTAATTAAAAATGGCATATTAGACAGATATTGAGTACAATCCAAATACAGCAAATATAATGTGATAATTTGAAAAAGCGAGTTTTTACATTTTGACCACATTAAATAGGTGGGTGGGAGCATGTTGATAGAAGTCATTACGTTACATTAAATTACATTACAAAGGTAAACAGCAGTCTTTACTGAGGGCTGGGAGCTGGCTCAGCAGTAAGTACACTTGGTCCTGCAAAGCAACAGGGTGTGAAGGATAGAGAACTACTTACTCCATGGTCGATGTGGTCAAGCAGTGGTGGTTGAGCTGAAGACCCTTGAGAAGATGTGTGCTCTGTTCCAGGGTCCACGGGGTTTGCCATGTTTTTGGCAAGGGAGATGACCCAGACCAAGGGTGAAGGTGGACAGCTGGCTTCAGGATAGGCTGTGTCCCTCACTGAGGCAGAGGAGCTAGAGTCGGAGCTCAGTCCTCAGGACCTCCTCTGTGATACTAAGAATTACTCTGCCCCCATTGCCTTGGTGGAGCCTGCGTGAGCCTATGGGACTGTCCCGCCTTGGTTATCAGGCAGCTGGAAAGAGTGACAGGACGGTTTTGACCTTTGGGCATTCATTCCTAGTGTGCTGAAACGGTTCTACCATAGATGGCACTACAGCCGGAACACCAGAGTCAAATATGTATATTTGATACACGCTTGTTTTCCATGTCAATCCCAGTTCCCGCACCCTCCCGTCCTCCTCTGCCCCCCCCACCAACCCCTATCCCATCCCCATTCTGCTCCTCAAGGACGGTGATGACTTCCATGGGGAGTCTTCAAAGTCTGTCACATCATTTGCAGCAGGGCCCAGTCCCTCCCCCATGTGTCTAGGCTGAGGGGGTGTCCCTTTCAAAGTCCATTCATACACTGGGGGTAAATACTGATCCACTAAGTTTAAAATGTTGTTTGACACTTCACCAGCCTCTTCTTGCTCACAGGCCACTCTGCGAGCCCTCCTTATGCCCGGGGCAATCCTTATGAAGAACATCCCTTTGTTTTAGTTTAGAAATTTCATGGAAACTGAGGTCACCGCAGAAAGTTTACCGTCTTGGTTAAATGCTCAGAAGCTCAAACTGGAATCCTATGCAGTACCCGTGGAATAAAAGTCCCTAGTCTTTGTCCTTGTAACACACAGTGGCTGAATATGAGAACAGACAAGAGTGAGGGTGGGTATTTTTTATGCTGTTTTCTGGGCAAGGCTCAAGTGTTTGTTGTCTGTCAGGCATTTACCATTTGCTTTGCTTATAGTGGAAGTTGCAGTGAGGAGCTCAGAGATGATCTGGACACGCAGAGAGTAGGTGTAGGTTCCTTCATTGGGGAGCTGGAGAAGTGGTGAGGGGCTGGGGTGTGGCTCCTTGGAAGAGCATGACTGTGCATACCCAAGGCCCCACGTTCCATATTTAGCACCAGAGAGAAGAAAGGCATGCTGGAGTAGGCTTAAGGCTTTCAAAATTAGAATCAAATGTAAAAATCACACATTTTATTTTAAATGTGAAATATGTTTTATCTACATAGTTTAGTGATGGTCCAAGAAGTTTTGCTAATCTTTTCTGTTTCATCACCAAATACTATGCTTCTTCACACCCCACTGTTGTATCATTTTATACTAATGGACTTGTGCCTCCCTGATTCCTAAGTTATATGGCTGCATATTGGGGTGAGATATATTTTCAAACAAAAACAAAAAGCAACTGTAGAAATTTACCAAAGAAGCAAAGTTTAAAATAACATATAATCTCATCACCTAGAATGGTTACTACAGATACATTGGTACATTAGCTTTCCATCTTTGTCCCTTTAGTGTAGACATGGACATATTAAAATCAAGAAATATTTTAAGATGGGGCTGAGAAATGGATCAGTGGGTAAAGTGCCTGCCCCACAAATTTGATGCCCAGAATGCAACATAGAAAGCCAGGTGTAACCCCATGTACCTGTAATGCCTTTCCTGGGGCAACAGAGACAGGGGGAACCCTAGGACTTCCTGGTCAGCCAGGACAGGTGCATTTCTATGTTCTGATTGATTAGAATCAAAAGACATCCAAGGATCCAAGGTTAGACTTTGTCTTCCACTTCTGCATACATGCACACACATATGCAGACACACACATGTGTAGAGTACCTGTGGGACACACACACACCTGCACATATACACATAGAAATGATAAATAGGTGGTAATTAAATATCACAGATAACAATTCTTAGAGATACATTAAAAACTGTATTTATTTTTTGCCTCCTTTTCAAGAGGGACCTGAAAATAAGTCACTCACTGCTCTTCATAAACTTGTAGGGAGAGATTCAGTTGAGGCAGAGTAGATCTTCTTCGTTATGTATGCCCGTGGGAAATGCATCATTACATCAGTAGTTTATGCCTTCTGTTTGAAGTGAACAGTGTAGTTAAAGAGTGTGTCCTGCCCTACTGTTTGATAGCACTTTACCATAGGGGCCTTGTCTATCTCTTGAGTTCTAGGACAATTCAGCTCCTCTTGTTTCTGTATCAGTGTGTAGCACATATTACTGAACTATCAAGTGTTGAGTCTGACTTAAGATGTTGAGCCAGTTTAAATATCTGGACCTTTTTCTTCCTTAAAATAACCACCGTGACTTGTCAATTTATAGATCCAAGTATGATTTTGGGTGAACTTAAGGTGATGTTCATCTGCCAGTCACATTTTACCACTCAGTGGGAACATGCTGTGCTTGTAGACTTGAGTCTTTGCTTGTCAATGGTATTCTGACTTTTAAAATATATCAAGATGATCTCAGACTTAGTTGGCCTAGCCGTAGGATTCCCTCCTTGTCTGTGGCTCTGGGGACAAGGCCAGGGCCACAGTCACTATCATTTATACTCTTTCAGTGAGATATTCTCTAGGAGCCAAGGTGTCTGCCCTATATGAGTATGGATTTCTCATGTTGAGTCTTCCTGGTGGTCAAGATTGTCACTGGTCTTCCAGAGGACAAAGTTCAGTTCCTATTACCCATATCAGTGGCTCACAACCTTCTGGATCCAGAACTCCATTGGCTCCAGAACTCTCTTCTGATTATTGGGGCAGCTGCACACATGTGCCTATATCTCGCACAGACACATGGATGATAAAACAAATCTTATTGAAAAATGAAAGGTGGATCCCATCTGTGACAATGCCATGATCTCATCATAATTCAGCTATTATTTTTGTTCCTGGTTTTGTCTTTCTTGTTCAGTTAGGACAAAAAGTAAAGATTGAGAACTCTGTCTTGGGCATCTTTTTATCTCCTACAGGCCCATCAGAGAACCCAAGAGTCAAAGATGTTCACAACCAATTCATAATTTACTCATAAAAGATAGAAAAGCTATAGATCATTTATGATAAAACTGACAATGTCTGATGAGCCTGGCATCCATTCTGCTTGTATGTGCTTGTGTGTGTGGACACATACATGTGAGTTGGCACATGTACACAAGGGTGCTTGTTTTGTGAAGACAAGAGGTTGGTACCTGATACCCTTCTCACCCTTCAGATCACTTCTATAGCTTGGTTCTCCCTGAGCCTGGAGCTTACTGAGTGGCTACAGTGTTGTTCACAAAGAATTCCAGGATCCTCCTGTCTCCATCTCCTCAGTAACTTTGATTCCCTTGCTGACGTTTTGGCGAGGAGCTGAGGTACTCGGGGGCTGAGAGTGAGCACGTTACTAACTGAACCTTCTCCTCAGCCAGGTTCTGGTATTTTTGATAAACAAACAGCAATTGCTTTTCCTTGTGCAAGGAATTCTGAGAGAAGGTGCGTGCCTTCCCTGTCACCTCCAAACCTGTAGCAAGAGTACTGTTCACTGAAACATGGCCACCTTCTCCTTTCTTCTGTATCTTACTGTCCTGTTCCTCTCAGGGACTCCGGAGAGCCTTGCTGAGAAGGAACGACAGCTCATGGGGATGATCAACCAGCTGACCAGTCTGCGAGAGCAACTCCTGGCTGCCCACGATGAGCAGAAGAAACTGGCTGCCTCGCAGATAGAGAAGCAGCGCCAGCAGATGGAATTGGCCAAGCAGCAGCAGGAGCAGGTGAGGGAGGCTAGGGACCAGGGGATCCTCAGCCAGCAGGTGAGAGAGGCTGGGGACCAGGGAATCCTCAGCCAGCAGGTGAGAGAGGCTGGGGACCAGGGGACCCTCAGGCAGCCGCCCTCTCTTCTTGGTAAATACTGTTTGCAGGAGAGGAAGACAGGCAACATTCCCTCCCATTCCCATCCCCTAGAAAGTAAAGGAAAAGGCAGAAGGCCAACACACACCCTCCCACCCAGGCTTAAGGACTGTGTAACTACTTTGGTTGAACCATAGAAGTGGGATGGACTGACCATCTATCTTACCTCTGAAAACCTGACCAGAAATGCCTGAGATGCTCCCAAACCCCAAACTTACCTGTTAGCACCAGCATGATGCCATCTGGAACAGCTGGAGCTAGACTCATAGGCCAGGGCCCAGTTAAAGATCAGGGGCACAAAACACACTGAAGACAATTATCTTCAAGACATGGACACGGGATGCTTATGACATACACTTGAGTGTCACTTTAGACTTTAGACAAAGATATCTTAGTATGCGTACACAGACATTCAAAAACCCAGCAACAACAACCGAAACAAAGCAAAGCCTGCTGATATCCAAATGCATTTAGTCCCTAGCATTCCACATAACAATATTTCTCAACCTTTAATTGTAGTTTTGCTGAGGAGGTGAAGGCAATCCCGGGGGTGTGTTGTCCTCTACAGTTGACACGGCCATTGCGATTGTGATCTTAGCACAACTGTGGTCATGCAAATGGTCCCTGGGAACAATCCGTTATGGATGCATGAGGGACTAGTGGGCTGTTGACTATTGATAGATTCTGGGAGAGGGGGAGTCATTGTCTTCATGTGTACACTAGCAGTTGAGGCTACCTGGCTCTAATAGACAGCTCTGAGCCCGTAGTCAAACAGACAGTCCTTGTCCTCCTCCTCTCCCTCCTCGTCCTCATCGTTTTGATATGTCTCCTTGTGTAGCCCAGGATGTCCTGCATTGTTAGCCCTCTTGTTTCAAATGCCTGAATGCTGGGATTGCAAAGACACACCACTCGATCCATTATACTTTAATTTTGGTGAAATGCCTTAACACTTCCCTTTAAGTGTATTTGTACGCTATTGGATATATCTATATCTATAGTCTTGATTTAGCCCTGTGGAAAGCTCTGACAACTCCGGTGACTGTAATGGGCCAGCTCTGTCCTTGAATTTCCAATGCCATCAGCGAAGTCACACTGCCGCCCAGATGAGGGACCCTTCTGCTGATGTCCCCCTGCTTTCTTTGGAGGGCAGCTGGTCCTTTCTAATAGAAATGGGTTTCTCTGCTCATTCCATCATATAGTCTGAACCATCTGTGAGTGTCATCAGTAGATTCTAGAATGTTTTCTTGATTCTCAAGATCTCTGGCATTCTTCTTGGAACCTTAGAAACTAGTCCTGAGATCTTTCCTGAGCAGTCATCGGTGGTAGAGATGCCGGGCACTGCTGTCTCCTCAGCCTGATGAGGGCACTCAGAACAGGCACAGGTCAGGATTCGGGCACCCAGGCTGCTCTCCTCTCTGAAGCAGCCATAGCCTCCCCACGCTGCATCCATTCACAGGTCCTCTTCAACCCTAAGGCCGGGATCAGGAGCGCTGGGGTCAGCTTGGCCTATAAAGTGTTCCACGCCTGTGTATGGGCCTGAGTCCAGTCTCAGGTGTGGGGATACTTGCATGTACTCCCAGAGTTGAGACAGGTGGCTCCCTGAGGCCAATTGGTCAGTCAGCCTGGTCTACTTGGCAGGTTCCAGAACAATGAAAGATCTTCTTTCAGAAATAAAGTAGACAGCATTTGAGGAAAGACAACCAATATCGTCCTGGCCTATACTTACCAAGAGAGAGGGAAAGAAAGAGAAAGAAGGAGATAGAGACAGGGAAGGAGGGAGGGGGAGGGAGAGAGGGAGGGGGAGGGAGGGAGGGAGGGAGAGAAAGAGGGAAAGATGAAGTCGAACTCCTTTATTTTGACCCAAGTTTCCCTGTAGTTCCCGATCAGCCTGGGAGGTCATCCTCTGCATGTGCTAATTGACACATCCCGTACAAACATTGGAGTCTATGTTCCCATCATCTTAGCCTTGCCACTATGCTCTGAGCTCTAGTCCATGGCTATATCCACAACAAATCTGAATCCATCAGGTTCCAATCTAGGTATTGGAAGTTGAGAAGGACGTAAACCCCCCCCCCCCCCCGCAGTGGGATACAGCTCATTTGTACGAGTGTTGAGAAATACAAAGCTTGGGATTACAACTGAGGGTCCAGATGCAGTCACGCCTTGTTAAAGCTGCTGTCAAGGGAGACTGTAAGACTTGAGCAGAGACCCATAGAAGGTAAGGGAGCCAGCTGCATGACCACCCAGCCAGGGGATCCCAATAGGAGGTCACAGCAAGTGCGAAGGCTCAGATGCAGGAATTGCCCTGAGAAGTAGGAGCATGCTCAGTGTGTTCAGAAGGAAGGTAGGAGAGAACTATGGCAAAGTGGAGAGACAGAGGCTACAGGAGAAGATGAAAGGAGCAAAGCAGGGGACTAAACTCTGTGGGCTCTGTCACGATGTGCTGGCTGCCTTGTATTCTTGAGTAGGGCAGAGGGGTTTTGAAAAGATGAATGGCATGGCATGCTATGTCTTTAAAAATATATCTGTGGACTCTAGCTTATAATAGGCTGAGAGAAGAAAGGGCCGAAACCAAAGAACAACAAATAAGAGGTTGTTACATCCATCTAGCTTAGAATGTGGCTTAGAAGGGGAGCCCGGAGGGAAGGGCAGAAATGGTCACGTTCTTGACGTGTTCTTGTGGTATCTCTGAAAGGAGCTAGGTGTCAAATGAAGTAATGCTGTGTGAGAGACCATAAGCAAACCTTGGCAAGTAAGTAATCTTAAAACAAACAACAAACAAAAAACAATCTCTCTCCTTACCTTTCTTCAGAAGAAAGGAAATGCTAATTTTAATACTCTAGCAATGAGTGCATTAGAGTAGCAGATCTGTTCTGTAGCCAGGAAGGGATACCGTAGTCTGTTATGCAATCACGGCCCTTCACTTTTCCTTTCATCTTTAACTTCCTAATAAAGAAGAGAAAGGAAATATCTATGTAATAAAATGACAGGAGAACCCAGTGTCCCTTGGAAGAATATGATGCAGTGTTACCCAATACAGTGGTAAGCTTCGGAGATGGGAGGTTCTTCTCCAGGGTTCCACCAGAACTCACATTCTCTTCTGTCTCATCTGCACACCTCCTGGTCTTAGCAAATAGGTACTCATCTTGGCAAGTGTGCACAGATCATGCTCACGGTATAACTTCACTGCATTCTCGGGCATTTCCTTTGAATGAGAAGTTCTTAAAAAATAGATGGATAGCAAACCACATGGAGTCACAGCTTGGGGTACAATGCTGAGTTCACATAGAAGGGGTGGATTGCAAGTAGGTGGGATATCACTGCTCTTCCCCGAGGTGGGACACACACACACACACACACACACACACACACACACACACACACACACACACACCCGCCAAGGAAATCCTATGCAGGTCTAAATCTCAGCTAATCGTAGCCTTGTTGAAGTTGGAACATCCTTGAGTATGGGTATGCATAGACGGGTCTGAAGCTTGAAACAAAAGTTCTGGTCATGAGAATGAACAGAGAATCAGTTGGCAGGTGTATGGAAGTAGGCAGGGGCGGAAACAAGAGTATCATGTTAAGCCTTGGAAGACTCCCTCATTTAATTTGATGTAGAATCAAAAGAGAATGCGGGTCACAGAGCCAAGAGAAAAACTTCAAGACCGAAAGCGCTGGAGGGTGGGCCTCTGGTGAGATTGAGGGGGTGGGGACGATAACACATTCTGAATGGGAGGACAAGAAGCAACTGATAGACCCTGGAGAGAAAAGTGTGCAGATTGTAAGAATGTGTGAAGGACCGCTATTCAAGAAGTCTGCGGGAGACCCAGATGAGAATATCACCTACACCAAACAAAGCAACCCAAAGCTTCATTGAGGAATCTAGTGTCTTTGATACCTTGGGCTACGAGGATCTTTGGTCCCAGCAGCTCCTCTTATCATCAAAGCACTTTGTTTCTACATTGACAGTGTCAGTAGGGGGACCTGTAGATACTGTAGTCGCTGTGGAGGGTAGTCACTGAAAACCTCCCATGTCTTACTGTGATGGAGGTACTGTTTAGGCTTCCAAGGAGGGGCAGGTGGTCACTGAGAGGAAATGCCTTGTTTGACCTTCCTTAAGGACGACCTTCAGATAGTTCAGATCATGGAGGAATGGTGTGTGCGTCTTCTCAGCCAGCATTCACGTCCAGCTTTGACGGGAAGAAGGTTGGTCTTCCTCACCCTGGGTCTTACTGTGTTGTCAGTGTTCTCTGTTTCTCCACAGATCGCGAGGCAGCAGCAGCAGCTTCTGCAGCAACAACACAAAATCAACTTGCTTCAGCAACAGATCCAGGTCAGAAATCCGCATTTCAGCATCCTTCTTTTTAAAGGCAGACTGTCCTTTCTTGGTCTTGTATGATTTAATGGAAATGAACGCAGAGGCAGAGCTGGAAGTATTTTTGGCCCAGTTCTCTATGTGTTCTCTGTGTGATGCAACATTCCAGTGGTGACTCTGTCACAGGCGGTACCTGGTCAGGTAACATTCATCAGAGCAGGCTGCCAGCAACTTTTACCTTATACTCAGAAGGGATCATTATAGGATGCGGTTTCACTCCTTTGTGCGTCTGTTGGAAGATGAGCCTGAAAACACTCCTAATGTGGTAGATACAAGGACACAGCAGAAGGTGCAGCTGGGTTTTGGTTAGAAACACAGAGAGAGGTTCTCTTGGCAGCAGCTTGTAATCAAAGTGAGGCATGGAGAAGGTAATGAATCAGGACTGCCCTGGGAAATCAAGGCCATTTTGATTCTGTGAAGATCCGCAGCGTTAAAGGACATTGATAAGGGAGAAAACCTGCCATGCTACTAAATGATGAAATTAATTATCAGAGGAGATTCCTTCTCTAATATGTACTGAGAACATGGACTTAGGCGATGCTTTCCTTTCCATTTTGGAGCCCCATTTCCTGGTAGCACTTGGAGATGCAAAGTTTAAATGATGCCTTCAGGAAAGAGTGTGGCATAGGAGTCTACCGGGGTATACTCAGCATCATTCCACCATTCTTTAGGCTGAGGCAAGATGCCCAAGAGTTCCAGGCTTGCTTGGGTTACATGAGACCCTGTCTCAAAAAATAAAATGGCAACAGCCATGAACTTTAAGAATGTCAGGACACACAGTATCTCCTGGGTACCTAACTCCTGCCATCAAAGAACAGGATATAAGGGGTTCAGTGCTCTGAATTTCACGTGACATCTGTCTGGGAGTAACAGTTCGGTTCACGATTACATTATATTTTTCATATCTGGGTAGAAATTCATCATTCTCTTGAACTTTTCTCTTGGGGATATAATAATTTATGCTGTAAATATTATAGAAGCAGATTAGAAACTATTTCATCCAGCTTATCGTTGTGGCTTTCGTTTATTTACTAACCACATTTCTTTCATTCTACCTGATTGGGTCAACTGCTGTGACCTTATCCTAGCATGTGTGGGCCAGGGTTTATTCCTCCCCAGTCCATCCTAGGCAAGAACTCTCCATGGCTTAAATTGCATTTACTATCTGAAAATTCTTATCTAACATTCTGATCTCTGTCTCTGTTGCTTTAAAATGCAGCTGCAACACCTTGTAAAACCAACACACCAACAGGCATTATTCATCGCATTGTACATTCTGAGCTCTTTTGTACCTTGCTGTTGCTTCCGGCCTCACAAAGCAATGAATTCCAGTTTCTACGCTATGGAACATTGAGCTAAACAGTTGTCTTAGCCACAATTAGGCTGCCCCGAAACTCTTTGTTTTAGTTTCAGTTATTAATGGCATTCAACTGGTCTACCTAGTAAGAAAGCATGTGCCATTCTCCATGGGTTAGATAGCTCTACTCAGTGGAGTAGACTGATTTTGAAGGTGTACAGCTAGATAGCTTTACACAGGACTGGCATGTCACGTGACAAAATGGTGACTTGTTCAGCGTTTCTTTTTGTTTTTAGTGTGGTCTCTCTGAAGGTGAGGGTAATTTAGGCATCTTTTCCCCCCATTTGAAACGTATCTTTCAGTTAAAGGAAATGGGTGCATTTTTACATTTATGCACAAACATCCACATTAAAATCACTCTTGACCTGTGAATTTTATCTCCTCCACCATTTGTGAACAGAATGGAGGTATGTTATACTCTGGAGTTGCATGTTCTGAGGGGAAACCCTATACAGATTTGCAAATGAAATGGTTTCCTTAAAGCACTCGGGGTCAGCTCTTTGTGAAATGACTTTAAGGCTCTCAGAAAGCAACATTTGCTCTGAAATCCATGATTTTAATTGGATTTAATATTCTTTTTATATATTACATGATAGATGCTTAACAGGGTCACCATCTCCTGGCAGGGCTGTTCACTCGACTCATTGGGGTTAAAAGAAGAATTAAAGGTTTCTGTACTGTTCTCTATAGACAAAATACTGTCATAATACCAGAGCTATTCGTTTCCCCTCAAGAACATGCCTAGGTACTTAAGAGAAGTAATCCTAGGGCTGTGGAAGTTCCAGCTTCTTTTCTACCTGGCAGCTGTAGCTCCTAAGATGCTCACTCATTAGCCTTAAAAGAATGAGAGTTTTTATTTCCACCTGTTGTGTTCAGCCCGTAATGCACCTTAATACATGAAATAACATCTGTAAAGATTGCAGAAAAAGCTGTCTTCCCAGGTCTTTTTTTTTTTTTGTTTGTTTGTTTTTTGTTTTTTTAAAGGAGAAACCTCTACAGTTATTGGCTTTTCCTCTATTCCTCTATTTGAACTTTCTACAGTAATAACTTTTTAGCAACATATTTCCTTTTTTATAGTAAGTCACTCTAGGTCTGATGTGGACCATACTCTGTATTGCACATAATGAACCAAGGCTGGCGGTCCATCTTGACCCGACTCACCATATGAAAACCTTTCAGGTCGGAGAATAAGTGACCTCCACTCAACTTCTCTATGACAACAGATTGAGTGTCCCCAGAGAGGCACATTTCTTTCCCTGTTGGAGCGTCTGGGGACAGGCTCTTTCTGTAGCTCTGGAGGAGGTGTTTAGGGGCTTGCTTTGCTTTATGCTTTTGCCTGTTGTCGCAGTACTGGATAGAGTGTATGCGTTTTCTCGTCTATGAACAGTATTAATCCAACAGTGTGTTCACCTAGGAAATCCTTTAATGTATTTTGAGATAGCCTACTGCTTTTCAGATGCATTCGACTCATGGTTCCTATATGGGACTTGACGTTGTAACTTTAAGAGAATCATGTTATTTACTCCATCCCCTGATCTGATCAGCTTCTAAACTATTGTTCGTTGTGTTCTCTTGGGGAGAAAGAATTAGTCATTTATAACCCACTGTTAGGATTTCTGGTCCACAAGCAGAATTAGTCACAGCTCTGGCTCAGTGACTCTGCCCAGGGCTACCTGGGAGGGAAGGAAGCACTGTGTCCCCTTGTGTTCCCACAGTGAGCATTCCAGTCTACACCACAGGAGGAGACTCAACCCTTTAGGTTATACTTCCAATGCTTTCTCTGAGGAGAACTGTTCTGTCTGAACTGCCCTCATAACAGCCTTCACATTTGCGTGCTTTGTTAGACCCGTGACACTGAGACCTGGATTGTGTCCTCTAAGGTTCCTCATCCTTATCTGTAAAATGGGAACCCTGATGCCTCAGTAGGGAATTGTCTGTGGACAATCATCGGGAGGGAGAAAGACGTGTTCCCTCAGTGTTCCGAGGGCCAGATAGCGTTAGTGTCTTTTCTAGCCATGTATTGATTTTGAGGGACTCACACACAGACATGCACACATCACATACATATTCATACACATTCACACTCCTAACATGTACTCACACATACTCACATACATGTATTCATACAGAGATACTCAAACATATACGCACGTACATAGAGAGATTTGTACACTTGTTTACATCTATATACACACTCAGAGACACAATTATATAAGTCATTCACATATGTACACATACATATAGTCACACAGATATACATACATATATACAGTCACACCATATATACACAGACATACACATACATACACACTTATAGACATACACATACAGAAAGTTACACATACATGCATAGAAATTCATACATATACATATAACACATCAAAAATACATGTACATACAAGCATATACATATATACATGTCACATATATACACTTCCATATGTATATATATGGATGCATATATGCACAACATATAGGCAAGCATTTATATATACATATATTTACATACATGCATTACACATGAAGACACATATATATACACATGTTCATACATATGCACATGAATACAATCTGTATGACGTCATCACTGAAATTGGGAGTACAACTTTTCCAGATTCATGGGACTTTAGAACTTCAAGGGGTTTTCACAAAATTTATATTTGGAGCCATCTCTCATTATCCCCATTTGTGATATAAAGCACTTAAACGATGGGATTTTCCCAGTGTCAGGAAGTTGGGGACAGTGGCTACTTGTAAACATCCCAAGTTTTGACCCTATTCACTTTTAATCCTACCAATACCCTACAATTTAAGGCTTAATGACCCAACTTTGAAAACGAGGCCCCTACCACTGGGAACTTAAACTTTGAAAATAAAATTCAAGTTGACTTAGGTGCAATTCAATGATTAAGTTGCAGTCATGGGCTCAACCAATTTGTGATAAGAGCCTCGTCTTATTGGAGCCAAAGTTCTCTGAGCTCATTAGAATTTGGGTAATTCTTGATAAATTATTATGCAGAAAGAAACCTACTGAAATCGCGTATTGAAAATCGAATAATGTTAGTGGTGACATAAGTATGCTTGGCTGGCCTGCTGATTCATGATTTCTTTCCCTGAGGGTGGTAAGTCAGAGACATTTTACTCCCCTCAATAGACCCCGCATACAGGAGCCCAAAGAGATTACAAGGTAACCTTGTCTCTTTGGGAGACTGGAAATGCCAAGAATAAACAGCAGGCCATTAAGGTAGCATTTGAACCTGAGAAGGGAATTCATTAACCCCTTGAGTTCCAGTTAAGTCTTTACCTTTCAAAGTATAAATCCCATAACTGGATGGGGTGTGTTCGTTCCTGACATTGAGAACATATGACTGGAAGAAGGTACAGGGAGATAGAAACCAGCTCGTGAGCTACCTGTTCTTTCATCTTTCACTTTCTGGAAACAGCAGCTTGGGCAGGAAGGTGGTATGTCCCGACAGAGAGACGAAGGGAGCTGACTGACAGCCGGTCAACAGTCCCGAGCTTTTCCTCAGAAGATACGCCTGGAGCTCCTGTGAGGTTTCTACTTTAATGGGTCTCCCGGCCCATTAATGACAGGACTGCA